TCTTCCATAAGCTGTCGTACTGGTGAACATTTGAACCACAAATCATAAAAGCTTCACATCTCTATTTTCGTCTGTTTGTTAATTTCAATTACATTCAACCTCTTGGACCAAAAAAAAAAATCAACCTTAGAGTCCTGTTTATAATCTTTGGTGTCATTAGCCATCTTCTAAGCCAATATTTCTTTTTTCTTTTTTCTTAATGGGCAAGCATAATCGAGTTATGATAAAGCCACCAATAGGTGGCTAATGGCTATCATGCCATCGTAAAAATAAATTTCATGTTTTAAATTATAACAACTAAAAACAATTTAGGCTAAATAGTTATTAGTTAATAGATATACATGTTATATTTCTACTCCTTCTCCAACATCCTTATATTGTGAATTAAAATAAATTATTTTTTCAATAAATTAATTGACTGGTGTATACTACCTCCGGTCCTAATTATAAGGACTAGTTGACTAATTTGAGGAAATTAAGAAATAAGTTAAGTTCGTTATTTGTAATAAATATGTATTGTCTTTCCTAAAATATCATTGCTAATCAAGTGTATTAGCTAGAACTACCATAATTAGAAGAACTACCTTGGAAAAAAAATACACAAATATGAGAGACAAAATGAATTAAGGTATTATATTTAGGACCAAAATAAAATCAAACAAGGTTTTATATTAAGGACCGGAAGTAGTATAATTTATCTATCCATCTAAATATACTTATGAAATCTCATAATATCTACTCATATTTAAATAGTTGGGTTGCGAATCCCGGCGCGGAACCTCTCCACTCAGGCATTCTCTCCATTTCCCTCCACTAACGCCAAACTATGTCGGTTCCCACCTCTCCACCAATCAGCTTCTTGTATTCCCCTCGACTTGGTCCAGCGACATCGTTTTGCAGTGGCTTGACCTTTGAAAAAAAAAAAAGACGCTTACTCAAACAAGAGAAAAAAAATCAAAGATCTCTTCCAATCCTCCTTCACTCATACTGACTGAGAAACATGCAAATTGAGTAGTCTTTAACAAAAAAGAGGCAATCATCAGAGGCTATTATAAATTTATAACAAGCCTCATGAGTTATTTATTTATTTATACAATATCAGACTGGAAGATCGGAAGAGATCTTTGATTTTTTTTTCTCTTGATTGAGTAAGCGTCTTTTTTTTTTTTTTAAAGGTTAGGCCACTGCAAAACGATGTCGCTGGACCAAGTGGAGGGGAATACAAGAAGCTGATTGGTGGAGAGGTCGGAAACGACATAGTTTGGCGTTAGTGGAGGGAAATGGAGAGAATGCCTAAGTGGAGAGGTTCCGCGCCGTGCAAATCCATACTTTGTTTGTTATCTATACTTATTTCATCTTCATGCATCCTTTTGTTTCCTACATTAATTTCTCATGTAATTATATGGGTTATCAATGATAATTCTTTTTTTTTACTTGAGTTATTAATAATAATTCAATCTATTCAATTTTATACAGATCTAATATTTTTTATGGCCAAATAACCCAAATTTGTATGTGTATATGTTCTCTCTCCATGTACATGTGCCTCATTTTTATTATTCTATTTTATATGAAAAGTTATATTTTTAAAAATACAAAGCAAAAGAAGAATATTTTGGGCTGGGAGAAATGATAATTTCTTGGAATAAGAGGGACTATAGATACAATCCATATATACATGTCTTATTTTTTTATTATTTTATTTTATGAAAGAAACATTATATTTTTAAAAATACATAGAAAAGTATGAATTGTCAAAAAAAACATAATATAATTGTTTCAATAAAAAGTGGTAAAGAATACAAATAGAATAACATATCCTAATTAAATCAAATATATAATATACCTTATAAAGACGTTTCACTTATTTGAAATATAATCATATATAGTTACACGTCACCTTATGCATCACAAGAGGAGAACTTTTTAGTTGGAATCAAATTGTGTTGGCAAAACATTGAATGCATATAATTTTTTTAATGCAACAAATGCATATAATTTTATTTCTTAAAAAGAAAATAAATTACAAAGTAAATTTACTTATTTTTATTCACCGGGATGCATACTTGCAAGAGATCAATACTCAATTAAAAGTTTCAGGCCAAAAAAAAACCCAGTTAAAAGTATCATAATCAATTTAAAAAAAAAACAGATGACAAAATTTTTCTCATATATTTACTTATTTTGAGCACTATAAATTATTCTTGAAAAGTTAATAACACCCTCCCTTAATAGTGGAACACTGGAACATCAATATACCAAGAATGTAAGGTAAAGAAAGCCAATTATAGGGAAACTAAATACAGGGTCAAGTGATAATCATTCACAATATTAATCCCATCAGAAATGTAAATGCTCCAGGCATACATATCATCCACAACCACCCAATTTCTTCGTTCCACCAAAGCTGCAATGGCAGAGCGAGGTTCACTCTCAGCCCACCAAATCCCCCATGTCTAGTCGCTCCAAAATGTCCACGTTCTTCATAATAAATATGAACCCCTCAATTCTCTTTTTCTCTGGCTTGGTTTCGGACCATTCTCCTAAACAACACAGATTGCAAGAGAAGAGAAGAGAAGAGAAACCATATTTATATTCTATAGAATAAAAAAAAATAAAAAAAGAAGTAAGAAGATGAATTCCAGAAACTCTTCTCTTCTCTGCGTAGCCCTCGCTCTTCTGGCTTTGTCGTCGGCCGTTAAGGCCTTCGACATCACAAAAATGCTGGCACAATACCCAGACCTTAGTTCATTCAATCAACACCTTACCGAAACCAAGCTTGCTGATCAGATCAATAGCCGTCAAACCATCACCGTCCTCGCCGTCGACAACTCCGGCATCTCCGCCCTCTCCGGCAAGCCACCGGCCACCATCAAGGCCATCCTCAGCACTCATGTCGTCCTCGACTACTACGACGAGATGAAGCTCATGTCCTCCGTTGAGAACCAACAGACTCAATTGACCACTCTCTACCAAACCACCGGTCCCACCAATAGCCAAATGGGCTTCATCAAGGTCGGCTTGATCGGTGAGGGTGAGATCGCTTTCGGCTCCGCCGTCAGTGGCGCCCCCCTCGACGTCGAACTCGTCAAGACCGTCGTCTCTCAGCCCTACAACATTTCTATCCTCCAAGTCACCAGACCAATTATTGCCCCTGGCATTGATGGACAATCGTCAAAATCAGCATCGTCACCGGCTTCATCATCGGCACCAAAAGCGGAGGCTCCATCATCGGCACCAAAAGAAAAGGCTCCATCAGCATCATCGCCATCTCCATCATCAGAGACACCAGCAGCAAAGGCTCCGGCTGCATCAAGGAAGCAGATATCACCATCTTCGGAGACCTCACCTTCGTCTGAGGCCTCGCCGGCACCAGAGATCTCGCCATCTCCTGAAGAAGCGGGAGCGCCATTGTCAGATGAAGAGGCCCCAAGTGATGCTCCGGTTCCCGCCAGCGGCAGCTCTCCACGGATCCAGACGGGACTAGTATGGGCCGGACTGATGGGCTTCGTAGCCCTTTTGGTCGCTATGTAAAATGAAGCCCAAGATTGTTGGGTAATCATTATGGATGATGCAGATGTTGACAAGCGCATAGCTATTTACATTTATTGTCACTATTTTTTTTTTTGGACCAAGTCTTGGTCTTAAATTTTAATTCACTTGAAATCAAATTCGTGGAAGTAAATTTCCAATTTGTGATGACGAGTGATAAACTTAAGAGCCAAACTGAATGATAATAATATTTTTTATGGCAGCTTGATAGTGTACGCACAAATTATAATTACTTGTTGATCTAAATCATGTCACTATATTCTTGCGTGAATTGTAAGATACTACCTCCGGTACTAATAACCTCGTTTGATTTTTATTTTTGTCTTAATTATAAGACCCCAATCCACTTTGTCTCTCATGTTTATGTATTTTTTCTAAGGTAATCCCTTTAATAATAATAGCTTTAGTCAATAAACTTGATTAGAAATGATATTTTAGGAAAGACAACATCTATTTATTACAAAAAAATAACTTAACTTATTTTCTTAATCTCCTTAACTTAGTCAACTAGCTCTTATAATTAGGATCGGAGGTAGTAATTCGTTTTATTTAAGATAATATTATATTAGATCGATTATTATTACCTCTGATCTTTAATATAAGACCTGATTGACTAATTCAGAGAAATTAAGAAAATTAGTTAAGTTAGTTATTTGTCATAAATATGTGTTTTCTTTTCTAAAATAACATTGCTAATCATGTATATTAGCTACAATTACCATTTGATAAAACCTTTAACATGTGCAACTATTATAAGGACTACTTTGAAAAAAAAATGAATAAATAAGAAAGACAAAGTGAATTGGAGTATCATATTTAGGATCAAATTAAAAGTCAAACAAGCTTTTATAATAAGAAACAGATATAGTATTGTATAATTATTATTTATATAAGGAATAGTACCAGGTAAAAGATTGTACATAGAGATTTCTCCCGCCAACTATTTAATTCCAATATCTCAAAGACTTGCAAATGAATAACTTAACGATCACAAGGACTCGAGGTTGAAATAAAATTTGGCTGTTGGCCAAAAAAAAAAGTGTAATGATTTGGTTTAAATAATCGTGTGATTCTTACTCAAATCAGGGATAATAAACTTAAGCAAGAAATCCTTGTGTATTTGGCCCCGCGTGTGCGTGGAACAATAGGGCATCATGAAACATAATGGACTTTATCTTATGATTATCATTAGTATCTGATGATTTAATTGTGAAATTGTAGAACAAATACTCCACCAAATATTATACTCCTCCGGTCCTTAATATAAGACCCAATTCTTGAGTTGATTTTGGTCCTAAATATAAGACCAATTTCTCATATTTATCAATTTTCTCTAAATTACCCCTATAGGTACTCCTTCAACTATAATCAAATAGAAAAGGGAGATGAGGTATTAAAAAAGATGATTATGGTGTTTTGGGAAAAATGTGTCACTTTTCTTATAATTAACTAACTTACCTAACTTCCTTAATCTAATCAAATTAGTTAAATGGGTCTTATATTAAGGACCGGAGGAGTATATATTTTTTTTGCTAAGCATGAATATCCTCTGATTGGAGACAATCTTATTCAGGATATTATTGAGCACATATACCTACACCTCCCAACAAGAATTTAGACCTTAGTTTGCCATATTGTGAAAGACTAATCATTTCCGCTAAACTTAATCTTGCTGGTACCAAACATTATATATCATATTACTTCCAGTTTTTAATATAAAAACTAATTAGCTAATTTTAGTATATTAAGAAAATTAGTTAAGTTAGCTATTTGTAATGAATAAGTGTTGTCTTATCTAAACTGCTTTTGCTAATCAAGTGTTATTTGATTAAACATTTAACATGTACAAAGACTACCTTAAAAAAAAAGATAAATATAAGATTGAGATCTTATATTTAAAATCAAATTAAAGTTAAACTAACTCCTATACCGAGAACTATAATAATATAAGTCGAAGTCATAAACAATGAGAATAGCGAATCTGCTGGTCAAAAAATAAAAAAATAAAAGAAAAGAAAATGGCGAATTTATGCCACGGCCCATGGCTATTGTAATTGAAACAAATGCTAATTGTTGGCGGATGCTTCTCTGCCAACTTTATTAGCAGTATTCCTTTATTTATTTTAATTAGCTGTTTTTTTTTAAAAGGGATGTGATATGAAAAGACAAATAATACGACAAATCTAATCCTAATCGTGATCAAGAAGCCTAAATATTTGTTACCTTATCAGAATATTGATAATTCGTTCATTCATGGTATGATGAAGCTGAGCTCTGCCTAAACCTAGTTACCACTCCCTCCAATCTTTAATATAAAATACAGTTAACTAATTTGAGAGAATTAAAAAAAAATAAAGAAACTACTTAATTATATTATAGTATATGTTACATGATCTCTTTAAAATGTTTATGTGTATCATTAGATTATATATAAGTTTATAAGTTGGCCAAATTAATTTTAAAAAAAATAATAAATATAATACTTTAAAATAATTTATTTAATCAACATTATTAATTTTTTCAAATTAGTTAATTTAGTTTTATATTAAAAATTGAAGGTAGTATTATTTTGAATCAAATCATTGTATGTACTATGTACAATTCCTTATACGTGCTTTATGCCACTGAGCACTTACGAATAATAAACATATTTGCAATATTTTAAATAGAAGATCCTGTTTATAGTGCACAAATTAGATCTTATATTTAGAATTAGATGTAGTATATTTTTAGTTAACCTGTTGATGCTAATTTTTGTTCCCAACACTTGTTGATGCTAATTTATGTTATAAGGTACATATCCCTCGTATAAAGAGACCCTGATCACATATTTAATCGAAAGAAACGTGAATAGTACTCATAAATACTGAATTCCGCTAATAAGATCAGAACCTGAAATTCAGTTTATTACCAAAACATTTCTATAGATGAAGTATTCATGTATTGTCCCACATAAATTAAATGCAGGTTTTTGTTCGCTTAAAAGTAGCTTAATATTTGCGATACCAGAGAAGTAAAAAGACAGAGACAGCATCAACAAAACTAAGGTTTACAAATCGAGGCGAGGTTTCATGCATGGAAATTTCCAGAAGCCAAATCAAGGTAAATGCGCATGCTAATTGAATATGTTGAAGTAATATATATCCCTTTTATCTTAAATACAAGACTTAATTAACTAATTTATGTATATTAAAAAATCAATTGGTTATTTACATTACATGTAAAAAAGTGTTTTAGATTATCTGAAATACATACTCCTCACTTTAATCATCTAATACACCACCGCTGATTTTTAATATAAAAACTAATTAACTAATTTGAGTATATTAAATAAGTTTGTTGAATTAGTTATTTGTAATAATTAGATGTTATTTTCTTTAAAATATCATTGCTAATCATATTCTACCTTTGGTTCTAATTATAAGAGTTAGTTAACTAATTTGAGGAGAGTAAGAAAAAAAGTTAAGTTAGTTATTTGTAATAAATATGTGTTATCTTTCCTAAAATGTCCTTGCTAATCAAGTGTATTGTTAGAGCTACCATTGTTAGAAAGATTATCTTGGAAAAAAAATATAAATATGAGAGACAAAGTGGATTGGGGTCTTATATTTAGAACTAAAATAAAAGTCAAACAAGGCCTTATATTAAGAACCAGAGGTAGTATTAGCTAAAATTATCATTTGATTGAATATTTAATATATGCAACTACTATAAGAATTTTTATGGAAATAATGGATAAATATAAAGATAAAGTAGATTGAAATTTATATTTATAACCAAATTGAAAGTCAAACTAGCTTTACATTGAGAACCGAAGGTGTGTGTGTGTGTGTGTGTGTGTGATAATTTAAAATAGTTCTTGGAATAAACTCTTGTCGAGAAATATGAATTTACACATATACTATCTTTAGTCATTAATATAAGAGTTATATAACTAACTTGAAAATATTAAAAAAATTAGTTAAGTTAATTATTTTTAACAATGTTTATTCACTTTCATAAATTACCTTCATTCAATAATGTATATCGAAACTACATTTAGATGGAAATACCTTACAATCAATAAAGATATTTTTTAGAACACATTATAAATTTGAGAGACAAAATAGATTGGGGTTTTATATTTAGAAATTCCAACCTACTCTTATATTTAGGAATGGAGGGAGTATTACGCAGAGTGGTCAAAATGATGTTGAATTCCTAGCGGGTATTAGTGGAAGGAGATATGTGGCATCCGCAGTGATACATAGTTTTCAAGCTTGTGTGCTGTTGGTGCGCCTACAAACAGATAAGCATATACATATTCTTCATTCACGCATGCATGTCTCTCTCTCTCTCTCTCTCTCTCTCTCTATATATATATATATATATAATATGCTTTTTCACTGATTCTCATTTGAAGTGTTGTTGCTTGGGAAATAAATAAATAAGAAAAGGGTCTTTTTATAAGGTTCGTGGGGATGGCTGAGTGGAATTAGATTATATCACGTCCACTATTTTTTTCCTCTTAAAAAATCTTCGCCTGTCTCGCTTAGTATTAAATATTGAAAGGGTTGGATTTTTCATTTTGCAGATTTTTTTTAAAATATTGAAATTAGAATCTTGAACTTGCTTAGTTGGATTTGTGCTCCAAAATTTAAGCATGTGTCAAATCTGTGAACTGAAATCCAGGCCAATCTTACAAGGATTTGAGAAGAGTTAGAGAATTTTTGTTGTCGTTTTTTTTTCTATCCAGCAAACCTGTTGTCGTTGTTGTAATTAGTTTATGTAAATTGATTAATTCTTATTATATATAATAACCTTTTCCTGATTCTTAATTAAAGTGCTTATTATATCACTTGAAACGAAAAAAAAAAACAAGAAGAAAATTAAAGGGTCTTTATAAAGTTTGTGGGGGTGCCTTGTAGAATTTTCTTTTAATTTTGTTCTCCCCGGAACTGAATTATTGAAATGGTCGGATTTTCTTTAGCCATTTTTTTCACAAAGTATTGAAACTAGAATCTTGATGAGCTGGATTTGTCCTCCAAAATTGAAACCTCCCCTTACCCTTAATAGGAGCTGCCGAGTTAACGAATCTGTCGTCGTCTTCCATATATATGCCTTATTGAGGGAATTTAACGTTCTCAAAATAAGCGCTGCAATTTACGATATATATATATATATATCTATGTATATATTATGACGGGGTTGATTGGAACATACTACCTCCGGTTTTAATTATAAGAGCTAGTTAACTAATTTGAAGAGATTAAAAAAAGAAGTTAATATAGTTATTTGTAACAAATATGTATTGTCTTTCTTAAAGTATTCTTACTAATTAACTGTATTAGCTAAAACTACCATTGTTAGAAGGATTACTTTGAAAAAAAATATATAAATATGATAGACAAAATAGATTGGAGTCTTATATTTAAGATCAAAATAAAAATCAAATAAGGTCTTATATTAAAGACAGGAGGTATTATATTTTTATGAGTTTATATTTGTAATTCCATGCAATCAATTGACAGATGCATAGGATTCATATAGCATTAGCTTATCGATCACTGTGTGTGCGTGCGCGCCTGTGCTAGCTGGCTGCTGTTATTTTAGCCATATTTTTCAAAACCAATAATCAATCAAAGACTAGTTTATGCATGCGACTTAATTTTCGAATTTTGTTTAAAATTAATTTGTCATAAGTGAAATTTTTTTAGCCATTTAAATCGCGAAAAGAAATCTGATTGTACAGATGATTCAGCATGAAATTAATTCTTACTGTACCATATATATCAAGTCGAATTTCACATGTTAAGCTAACTAATTAATCAATGTCTAATTAATTAAGATAGAGATGATTGAAAGTTTACCTAAAAATTAAAAATATATATATAACGCAGCCTTTGATTGGCTAAATATCAAGTGATGAGAGAATTGAAGGACCACACAAGCTAACCAAAACGTCATTGTCGTTCATAGAATAAATTGTGCATGAGTGGGTAGTGCGCACGTGTCTGCATGAGGTATCCCTTAGAATGAAATGACCTGAAAATGCTAGCTCTATGCTCTATCTATAACTAGTCAACAAGGTTCTATCTCCAAAGTTGAAAATTATTATTTTCTGGATAAATGCTCGTACTTGGAAAAAAAAAAAAGTTAATTTGGTACCACTGGGGATTAATTCTGCAGACAGTATAATTCATGTAGGGTTTCTGCAGAGTCCCTCTTGTCTACATAAAGAAGAACAAATGAAATGACGTGAAGTTTGTAAGGACCACCATTAAAATTGAATCAGAGTCAAGTCTAGCTGTATATATCGAATGCATCAAAATCACATGGATAAACCCCAGCCACACCAACTGCAACTATAAACGGTGAATGATTAGATAACCTAGGATTTTTCTTAACTATTATAATTTCATGATCCCAATAATGATTAGGTTTAGGTAATCATCAAATCAATCAAAAGTAATCTAATGCCTATGAAATAATTTACACAAATAAACATTATTGAGGGACATTTTTGAAAGGTAGGCAAGTTAAGTTGGTTTGAGTTTGACATATAAAAAGTTATACAAAAAAAAAAAAGTCTTGTATTGACAGAGTTTCATAAATAAGAACTTCCATCATGTTTCATAATATAACATATTTTGTCTAAAATGTTGAATTTTTTTTCATATAGTATCTCTAACAAAGTATAAACTTTCTAACTACTTAACCAAACTTCTATGCATAACTTATAATTTTCTATTAAGAATAATTTTGATATTTTATAAGAAATAACTAATTTTAAATAATTTTATTAATGTATGTAAAGTTATTATTTATAAGTTAGAAAAAGTTAAGATAGCACGTCAAACAACCATATATGCATTATTAGATTTAAGGATTAGGATCTGCCTTTTCAACATATGAGGATAAATTCACACCAGCTTTTAATTCATTGTAAGACGTGAAGGGCTGAAATCGATGACTTAGGATTATCCTTATCCTTATCTGCTCCCAGATAATAAGGTTTAGCTAAAATCAATCAAATTAACTAACCAGTCAAATGACAAACATTGAAGGACAAAGCAAATTATAGAGTGTGACGTGTCAGTGACAGGATTTGACAAGTAAGGTGGCTGGCTAGGTGATCATGCAATTAAAGCTTTTTGTTTCTCCATGTTGTGTGGAGGACCAGACATTGGTGGAAGCCCACGTGATGGCATGTGGGCATCCCAACCATTCCTGAACAATCTCGCATCTATATTTTTGTGTGCTCCGGAGTTGCCCTGATCAACAGCGCAGAAATTTATGATGAAGATAATGTTGTTGATCATGATGGAGACCCTCGGCGATCCTTCGTGAAATTTGAGGGACATGTTCGTGAAGAGGCTCAATCATTTTTGAAGTGACTTAATATCTAAGCGTTGCGGATGAGGTTTGATTTGTACATGTGGTGAAGATGGCAAATTTGTGGATCACCCAATCATCTTCTAATCATGCTTAATCATTGACTAACCAAACAAAAAGAATATTTAAGGGGAAAAAAAGCAAACCTTTAAAGAAAAAATATATATTACCTCCTGTCCTAATTAGAAAATCTCGTTTATATATATAATTACTGAAAATGTAATACTAATATTGGACGCCACCATCATCATCCCTATCACCCGTTTAACTTTTTTTTTTTTTTTAATTATCAATTTTCAATTTTTGCTAGCTAGAATAAAACAGAAGGTATATATAAATTAAAAGGTGGCCTGACAAGTGTTACCGTCATCCCCAGATTCTTTACTTTACAGACAAACGAACTTCCATAAATAAACAAGGTGATAAGGACCCTTTTGAAATGTCGAAAAGATCAATCATACATATATACGAGAGAAGAATATAATTTTCACGATATTTTATAAATGAATAGCTTACTTTAATCTTATATAGGTTCTTCTATAGTGCTTATGAAGGGCTCATTAATTAATAATGAACTGAACCACTAATAATATTACATCACATCACATCACATTATATTATATTAATGTCATTGTCAGCTAAGGACGGAGAAACAACAAAGTTTAATCCGCGTTAGTGCTCAGTTAATTAAGTATCAAAAATTGGCTATATTCCAAGCTTAAGAGCTAATTAACCAAAACTTAGATTACTAAATACTCACAAACAACTTTGTTTTCAATACAGCTTAGATAGTGTGACACTGATCGTGACATGGAATATTTAAAGAGCCCCGGCTAAGTAATGGATGGCTGTGCTCCCCAAGGCCTTCCTTCCATATGTATATGTTTCCCAACTTAATCAAGTTAATTACAAATTAATTAAACGACCGTGATACTTATCAAATTAGAACCGGCCAATAAAAATATTTCTTTAGGGCTCGACCGTGCCTTAGAGCCTATTAACTTATATCGCCGGTTTTCGATTATTTTTTGGGGGGAGGGGGGACGAGGCTCTGTTTTTGATTGAGCCACAATTTTTTTTCTTTTCTTGCTTAGCACAAGCATTCTCTTATTAGAGGTAATTTTGTTCGAAATATTGTTAGGTACTAAATATAGAAAATTCAAATCTTATTTTATCTTATGAGAGACTAACTATTTCTATTAGATATAATCCTAAATGTTTATGAGCCATAAATTAAAAGGGAACAGGAGGGTGACCGTGACTAAACAAATGATATAAACAGGGCACAAAACAAAAGGGGCTTTTTTTAAGGTGTCCATTTAATTATTCCCAATGATGAGTACCCCACAAACATACGCCCAGCAGGCAGCCGCACCTTTCAGCGACCAAAGGCACCCCAACTCTTGTTCACGTGGACATCTCGTGCTCTCCTCCCCCTTCCTCCTCATTTCATTGACTTTTTCTCCATAAACACACACACACACACACACACACACATTTCTCTCTTCATCAATATGTACATATATATATATATATATATATATCCCTCTCATAGAAACACAAATTGAAGCCACAAATATTCTTCTAGATGGGGGTTGTTCTTGTACCTTACATGGGACCCTAAGGGCCATGCCACCCTGTTCTCTGAAATGAAAACCCTAGAGGCCCCACAATATCTAGATTCCAAGCCAAACCCAAACAAGCTCCATCAAAGCCCTACTTTTCACCCTCCCCACTACCAGGAGTAGTTTCTTCTTGTTCTTATTTGTCTTGACCCCCTATATATATACCCCCTTCCTGTTACATCTCCTTCTCATTCTGCAGTAGTGTGCTTGCTTAGCTTGCAGATACATCACCACTACAACGCAGCTTATATACTGAGATATTTGAGAAGATCGATGGCAGGCGTCTGGGTGTTCAAAAACGGTGTGTTTCGGCTGGAAAACCCGCAGTCGGAGGGTTCGTCGTCGTCGTCGTCGGGGGCGGGGAAGAGGAAGGTTCTGGTGTACTTGCCCACAGGGGAAGAGGTGAGGTCGTACAGCAGACTGGAGAAAATATTGTGTGGATTAGGGTGGGAAAGGTACTACGGTGGAGACCCAGAATTGTACCAATTTCACAAGCATTCTTCCATTGATCTCATCTCTCTGCCTCGCGACTTCTCCAAGTTCAACTCCGTTTACATGTACGACATCGTCGTCAAGAATCCCAACCTCTTCCACGTCAGACATGTCTGATCTCGTGTCTCTGTCTCATCTCATCATTGATTCTATGCCCAGTGATCAGTGTTTTTTTTTTTTTCCCGTTTTTAAGGTCATTAATTTCTTAGTCACTGATGTGTATTTTTCCTGGTATTCTAGCTAGAGGCTGTAGGTAGAGCCCTAGCCACTGAATATTGGGTTGGTTTTTGTCTGGCTTTCTTCCTGATCGATGAAGAATAAGGTGTTTTAGCTGTGTTCCTTAATTAGGATTTGTCTCTGACTTTGGTGGTGTGTAATAGTAATAGTAATAGATGGATATACAGTTGTGATCCATGACTCTGTACGTAGATTGTCTGATTTACATATATATAATGACATCATAACATTATGTTTTCAGTTTTATCAACTTTTCACTTCCCTTAATTACTGCTTGATCTTCTTCTTCTGTCAACATATGCCCTGGCTCAGTTTCTCCTTTTAATATTTGATCCCTAATATTGTTAAGTTTGATTTAAGTGTTACATATATAGAGGCCTAATTGAGGATAGCTCTTTTTAAAACGATTTGTTAGATTAACAAGTTTTGAATCCCTGATGTAGTGGTTGAGGTGAATCGAGTTCCTTTTCATTCAATTCCCAAGTGATCAGATAATTAAGAATTAGGAATATGTTTTTGTTCTCGCTCTGTGGAAAGACCAATCCAGCTAAAAATAAAAAGGTTACTTAAGGAAAACAAAAGAAAAGAAAAAGGGGCAACAGAGAGTGGGTTAGGTTCAAATGGAGCGGCGCCCCACATGTGGTTTGAGAGTACTAAAATCAATCCCACTATTTAAAGGCTTTGCGAGTTATTTTCTTTCTGTATTTTTCATACGTACTCCTTTTGATTTAAAACATAAGCTAAATTTTATCTAGTATGTTTATCAAGAAACTAGTTAAACAATAAATATATAAAACATGTATTCAGTTTAAAACAATAATTATGTAAGGTGTGTATTTTTCTTCAAATATGCCATTATTAATAAAAAAAATAAATAAAAGATGCAATAAACGAATCAAAGAAAAAAAGAGTATAAAATGAGATGGAGTATTGATTAGAAAAGTAAATGTTATCTTATAAAAAAAATTAAACCCTTTCAACAAAGTTTAACTTATATTTTGAATCAGATGGAGTATTAATTATTAATGATTTTTTTTATGTCTAAAATGACAAGAAGTTCACATTGCCGCTGTACGTGTAATATTTGATTATCCCTTTTTTTTTTTCCAGATAGTGATTTCCCCGCAAAAAAATTTGCCCAATTCAAGTCACATCCTAAAAAGTGAAGAATTGGTGATTGTAGCGAACACAAACCCCTGTTAATTTGAAGATGATTTTTTTTTAGGCCGAGAAAGTTCAGTTGATATTAAAAATTTAGAACTTTAACAAATATTAAGAGCAAATTATAAGTTAGATTAAATATGAAACGCATTATTCTAAAGCATGAGAGCACATTCGCGAAGCCATGCTTACATACAAATGACTCGTTTAGTTCTCAAGGGAAGGAAAAAAATTAAATTTATGGACATCAACTGATATATATCAATCAAATTATGGACATATAGAGTGTCATCTTATAAAAAAGCGAGAGTATATATACAAGCCCTATAATTTTTTAACCCTATTATATTGAAATTTTAACGTATTTTTGAAATAGATTTAATAATATACTTCTTTTGGTCATTAATATAAGATCTTGTTTGATTTTTATTTTGGTCATAAATATAAGACCCCAATCCACTTTATCTATTATACTCCTCTGGTCCTTAATACAGGACCCAATTGTTGAGTTGGTTTTGGTCCTAAATATAAGACCCATTTCTCATATTTATCAGTTTTTTCTAAATTATCCCTATAGATACTCCTTCAACCATAATTAAGCAGAAGAGAAAGATGGGAATATAGAAAGATGATTATGGTGTTTTAAGAAAAACGTGTCACATTTCTTATAATTAACTAACTTACCTAACTTACTTAATCTATTCAAATTAGTTAAATGGGTCCTATATTAAGGACCGGATGAGTATTTATATACTCCTCCGGTCCTTAATATAGGACCCAATTCTTGAGTTGGTTTTGGTCCTAAATATAAGACCCATTTCTCATATTTATCAATTTTCTCTAAATTACCCCTATGAATACTCCCTCAACTATAATCAAGTAGTAGAGGAAGATGGGGTATTAAGAAAGATGATTATGGTGTTTTAGGAAAAATGTGTCACTTTTCTTATAATTAACTAATTTACCTAACTTTCTTAATCTAATCAAATTAGTTAAATGGGTCTTATATTAAGGACCGGAGGCGTATATTTTTTCAAGATAATCCTTCTAATAATTATAGTTCTAACCAATATACTTGATTAGTAAAAATATTTTAGAAAAAACAACACCTATTTATTATAAATGACTAATTTATTTTTTTAATCTCTTTAAATTAGTTAATTGATTTTTATAATTTAGACCGGAAGTAGTAACAGATTAGTACCCTTCCTATGATTATGACAGCTGAAAATAACCAAAATATCCTATATCCAGTACCCGCTAAAGGGCCAAGTGCAAAACACAGGATAAAGATTAGGAGAAGTCGGAAGTTGGTGTGAGTGAGTGAGTGAGTGAGTGAGTGAGAGAGAGAGAGAGAGAGAGAAGGGTGGAGCCAATCATATAGTTACACATGGCATGCTGGAGCCCACATATGCGTCTTCTCAGTTTTTTTTTTTTGACCAGAGTCTTCTCAGTTAATTCCATAATGTTTGGTATTATCGTGACAACGATGTTATGGAGGCTTCGCCTTCACGTGAAGCCGATTGCGACACGTGTCACCGTCCGCTGTCATGTGCCACGTGCTCAGATAATGAAATTCTACCCGCATGTGTATACACTTCCTCTCCCTCTCTTTCACATCGTCATCCGTCTTCACCCCACGCGCGCGCTCTCTTTCTCTCTCTTCCTACTGTTGAAGTTCCAGAATGAAGCTTTGACAAGTCCGATGATTAATCTAATTCGTGATTTGTCACAGTAAAATAAGAAAATAAATATAAAATGCTCTATATACTTACTTCGTTTCCTGTTACAAGAGAAAATTATAAAACATATCATGTTGCTTTTTATAAGGGACATGTAGAAATTGTACTAAATTTTGTTTGTTGATTTTTTATTTTACTCTATTTAATTACTCATATTATTACTTTCAATTCTCACAATTCTCTTTCTTTGACATAAATAAGGATATTTTTGACAAAAAGGTTATACTTTTTATATGTTTATTATCTTTAACTAATTTTAACTAATATTTTGAACAATATGATTTGTATAATTGTCTTTTATAAAAAGTAACGGGGGTAATATTTCAAATTAGCTAAACAAAAGAATTTCTCCCCTTGTCCTTAATGTAAGTAGGGAATTAATGTTGGTCACATATGTAAGATTTATTTCACAAGTTTATGAATTTTTTCTCAAATTAATTTTATTGACATTTCTCTAATAATAATCAAGTCGGAGAAGAATGAAGAGAATTAAGAAAGATGCTCGGGGTATTTTAGACAAAGCATATATTAACTAATTTAAAACATTCTTAAAATACTTAAATTAGTTAATTAGACTTCACATAAAAAAACAGAAGAGAATATTGTGAATCAAATGAATATACATTTATAATTTATATGCCCACAACCATATGTTTAGTTTTCAACAGTTAATTTATATACGTGTAAGGTTAAAAATAGATCCTATGGATGTCAGTCCAAAAAAAAAAAGAAAAGGCCTACAGATGGTGATCACCTTACTGGGAGGCCTACGTGACAGGATTCCCCAAATCTGTCGGCCAAGTCCCATCTGCGAGAAAATCGGTCCTTCTGCATTGTGTACAGTAGTGGGGCGTGCCGTTCATCACAAGGTCTCTAAATTTTATTTAGGAGCTGTTTGGATGTTATAAAAAATATTTTTTAAAAATACTTTTTCATAAATCGAAATAAATTTTTTTATATATTTACTTTGTATATTATAAAATTATTTTTCAAGCTATGATTTGATTTCTATCCAAACACTTCCTTATTCTTCGTGAAAGAGAATGACAAAAAAAAAACTGAAAATTATTAAATCTTAAATCAAGTTTGATAATAACATTTTATTTGGTGTTGACAATATTAAATTCACAAATAACAACAAATTTTTGTTGATATTTTTTATTCAGCATTTATAAATTTTCATCTTTTTTGTTGTTGTCATTTCTCTTCTAAATCCCACGTTATTTTCATACAATGTAAGTTTGGTTAATCTTAACCACAAAGCATGAGGACCGCCAACTGGAAAGTTTTGGATTCAAACTATTCCATCGCCTACCAAATATTTTTCTCTTTTTAAGACGAGAGTCCAGAGAACAGAGGCTATAAAAGGATTCGTGTGCGCTTTTCATTACTTCGCTATTTGCGTCTATTGGGCCTGCACCTAGCATGAGATCTTTGGATATTGGGCTTAAGTGAACTTAACCTGGCCCATAATATTGGGCTTAGGACATCATTTGATCGCTCTGAATAATGAATTAATCACAGTGATGCAGAACTACAAATCAAGGTCCAAATTTCCCCTGAAAGTCTCAAATAAGATTACCTTCATTAGAAAAATAATCGCACCTGTGAAAAAAATGACAATGATGCGCATAGATATCGTACTTGTTTTGAAAAACGTCACGCATTTGACTCTTAACGTTAGACATGCTCCAAAAATCTCAGTTCGTGGCCGCAAGGTAGCTTTTGTGCACTGTAATATGCTGCTTACAACGTCATCAACAACAATGGTGGATACGCCAAGCCAATCATTATATTAGTAAAGCAAATATAAATCTTTTGCATCAAACCATCATACTTGAAGAAATCAATTCCTATAGCATCATGTTATCAAAAGTAGTCAGGCCAAATATGCTAAAACCTTCTGACAAGGCTTAAGTACACAGTACATGACTCGTTTAGTTTAATCCTCTGTCAAGGTAATCCATCCATAAACTTATCTACATCCTCTTCAACCCAATGAAAAAAGACAATAAATAATTATAGTATCCAAGCGATTAAATACATCAAGCTTGCTTGTAATGATTGTCATCGATGGTGGAGTATACTAGTCCATCGTCACCAAGAGTCTTGAGTGACAACCTACCATCATAAACAGGTTAAGTTAGATGCAATTTACCAGACTCATGCATAGCAATACTGAGATTCCAGACAAACGAATAGAAAGGAAGAGTACATGATCTTGTCCAGTGGAAGTTTAAGCGCTCGAGACAGCTCATCAACATGTATTCCCCTTTCATCAGACCTGCAATTTTGAAAACAATCCAGTTTTTTAATAGTGGTATTCACAATCCTGAAAAGTTAGATGAAAATTATGAGGTGAGAGGAAAGGTAGAAGGAACATAATTATCATCGTGTAACTCACATGTCGGAATGCTGATTCAGATAATCAAGGACCAATTTATCACAATCCTTGAGCCCATCCACGCTATATTGTGCATATAACTGACGTAAAGGGAATTATTTAATCAATCCAATCATGCAGAACAAGAATTTTAACCAAAACTTTTGATGGATAAATCTCATACTGGATTAGATGATGGTGCTTGATTTCCATTTGTTGTTGCATGAGATGAGTTTATGGACGGAGGACGTGCAGGAGTAACTCCTTCAACCTAGGAAGAAGAAATTCAAAGAAAAGCATTACGCATGATGCTGTTAACTAATGAGAAAACTGGAGATGCTCATAAGTAGGAAAATATGTACCTTTACTTTAGAGTGTAGATGATTATGTATGCAGTCAATAAAGTGAAAAGAAATCTCATCATAATTCATCACTGGCCTGGGGAAAAACAGCACAAATACAAAATAAGAACGACAATCCAACCAATCCAGCTAAGCATGCAACTTCTCTAAGAATAATTACATTAATGATTAATTTAGGAAATTACTTTTCAGCTCCAAGCAATATTCATGTGGTTCAAATGTAAATCCATCAAGATAAGTAACCAATCTTTAAATTCAATGCAACGAGTAAATATTATTGAAAACAGAAGTTGAAGATCCACAGATGCTAGCTACCAAGGATAGCACACTCCAACCCATCACGTAGGACCAAATAACAATTATCACCGAAATTAAATTGAAACCGAATTAGATCATAAGAAACACTAGGAACCGTGCCTCCAAAAAGGCACCTTATCCATGTGTTATGATCCTTGACTTATCATAGATTGAAAGTACTGTGGTAAACCTAAAGCTCAGGGAATTAGGAAAATCCAATTTCATACCCACATTCAACAACACCAGGTCAAAACCCCCAGAGCTAGATACTGCCCCACCAAATACTAAAGCTTTATTGATTATTCAGCAGGAATAAACCTGGTGGTCTGTGTGACGCTGATCAAGCATACCAGATCACTTTTCCAGCTATAAAACATTGGCCAATGAGTGAGACAGAAGTGTATTTTGCACCCAGGATCTACTTAATGAATTTGTGCAACTAGCCCAAGATTCAAAAGGGAAAATTGGATTTGGCATGCCATTAATTTATACTACAGTAACTAGAAAGAGATCAAACAAGCATGATTCAATTGAGATATTTTAAATAAACAGGATTAGTAAAAATACCTGATTGAGAAAGCAACAACCTGTTTTACACCTTGAAAGCTTTTTAAATGCCCATACACACGAACATATATACCATCCCTGTCATTGAATATCTTGAAAAGGTAAAAATCATGAGGAAGGTACCGCTGACTCGTATATTCACATAGAAAATATATAGTTAAAATCTCACCGTATTTCTTCCATTTCCTTTGTATCAAAAGGTTCATTCACCCTAGTTAAACAATCAGAAAGGCATTCAGAATACATTTTCACCGCATAGTTGCCAGTAGCTAAAAATATATGAATTAAGTCATGAATAATTTAGATACATGCAAGCACAAAAACACACGTTTGTCACAAATCACTATAGCATTAACATTCATATGGTACCATCTTCGACATTTGATCCGTCCTGTTCCATCATCTAGAACAAAATTAACGTCAGTGTTTCTGTCAACTTTCTCAAACACCATGCCAAGCAAGGTGACCTGAATTAAAAAAAAAAAAAAACAACGAAACCGTATCAAGTATAAGCTACGATGGATAAAAGGTTCTAAATCTCAAAATAATATCTTTGATATATCGTTAAGTAATCATCCAGATCAGTGGAGGTAAATTATTTAGTTTATATGCCTGAGGCTACATCTAGATGTGAAAGCATTATATTTCTTGAACTAATAGAGAATGAATCTCACATTGGTAACATCCACGCCGTTGATTAGGAAATTCGACTTTTCGTCGCCGGACTGAGAGGCTTCGCTTATCTGCTTCACTGTTACCGGAACTAAACCCTGAGTCTCACGGCTCTTTTCCGGATAAAAAGGGCCGTGCGAAGGATAGGGAAAGAACAAAAAGAACGATGAACCCAGTTAGTCGATACATCCCAATATACCTCATAATTTCGCAAATCCATAAACCATCGAAGCAACCGGTATGACAGTTAGATGTTCAAGAATGAAAAACAAGACAGATGAGACAGATCACTTACTTTGATCAAATATTGGTTTTTTCTGCACCAAACAGAAATTTAATAACGAAAAATAGGAGAGATGAGGGAGACCACTTACTTTGGCCGGTAACGGAGATGAATCGTTATGCTGGGTAGACTCCGCGGTCATGAATCCGCCTCCGGAGAAGGCGGCAGTAGCATCAAGCTGGCTGCTGGAGAACATCAGTTAATCCAGAAGAGATAAAGCAACAGAGATCGTGAGAGAAAGAAACGGATAAGTAGCAATTGGCAACGAAATGTTAAATACTGTGTGTGGGGATGAAATTATATCGTTTCCCGCCAAGAATGCTACCCTTTTCCCGCCGTTTAGGGTTCGGGGACTTCCCGCTCTCGGTCGATTTTTCGCCGTGGAAATTAACAATAAATTGAATTAGCCTGCTACCCTCAGTTTCCCCCAAAAAAAAAAAATTACAAAATCTTAAAAAAAATTTTAAATTATTAAATCCAAATCAGGTTTAATAATATCACTTTAATTAATTTTAACAGTACTGTTATTAGAAATAACAACATAGAGTATTATTTTAAAAAAATTATTTAAGATTTAGTAATTTTTAAAAAAATCAAATTTTTTTAAACCAAAATTTTGTGTTCCCGGAAAAAATTGACTTAATATAAACCAAGTATCTGAAGTTATAATTATTGACTATTTTTTGATTATATAAAGTATTCACTTACTAATCAAATCAGAAAAAATGCTTTTCATGATGGTTTTGCATAAATTAGAAATACCATTCATTAATCTAATTACTCTTAAATTTTTATAAGTGTAATAATTGTTGATATATTTGTCCATATATACATATACATATATATAATATGGGAAAAAAATTAAACTTGCGCGTATGAGTGGACTCTCCGAATTCGAGTCCTCTAAGGGCCTGTTTGGGTATCCCAAAACCATGATTTCAGAAGCACTTTTCCGCAAAACAAAATAATCTCCTCCACATATTTATTTTGTAATCCGTAAAAGCACTTCTGAAACCATGGTTTGGTTTCTATCCAAACACATGGATGAAACCAAACCATGGTTTGGAGAATAGATTCTGAAAAAAATAGATTTTGGGAAGAATAGATTTTGTGAAAAAGTGATTTTGAGAAGTGTGAGTGTTTGGATAGTTGTTATTAGAAGTACTTTTTATATATACAAATTGGCATAAATTAATATGATAATTATAGAAAAAATATATTTTATGATATATTTTAATTTGAAGGCATAAAATTGTTAATAATATATTTTTTATTAACATATATTAATAATATATAAGATAATATAATTAATAAATAATTAATATGTATATATATTTATAAGATATAAGATTAAATATATTTATAAAAAATATGTTTATAAAAAAAACAACAAGATACATATCCTATAGGCTCTCATACTCTCCCCTTTTTCCTCCAAAAGTAAAAAATTTCTGCTTTTCTCAAAACCATGGTTTTGAACCCAAACCATGGTTTTGATTTTTTTAAAGGTGTTTGGCTAATATTTTTTCCAAACCATGGTTTGGTTCCCAAAACCATGATTTGGGGTGTTTGCCAAACACACCCTTAGTCCGAGCAAGAGTGCGAACTGCGAAGCAGAATAAGATCAAGGAGTTTGCTTCCTCCAAAATCGGAATTTTGCTCCACAAAGAATGGAGCCCTTGTCGTCGTCTTGTGCGGTAGCACAGCAAACATGGGAGCTCGAGAACGACATCATTCCCGTGGATACTCCCACTTCCTCCGACCAAGCTTCCGACTCCATATTCTACTACGACGAGGCCGCCCAGAACGACTTTCACAGGGAGAAGCCTTGGATCAATGACCCTCACTACTTCAAGCGCGTTAAGATCTCCGCCCTCGCTCTCCTCAAGATGGTTGTCCACGCTCGCTCCGGCGGCACCATTGAGGTTATGGGTCTCATGCAAGGTAAGACTGACGGTGATGCCATCATCGTCATGGACGCCTTTGCTTTGCCTGTTGAAGGCACCGAGACTCGGGTTAATGCTCAAGCTGATGCCTATGAGTACATGGTTGATTACTCTCAAACAAACAAGCAGGTCTGTGCTTTTGGTTTTTGCTGGTTTCTTTCTTTTTAACTTTTATTCCTTCGGTTTTCTTTATACTATCCGGTCTATTAAGACCTGGCTTGTAGACTATAAATAAATTCTTATAATTAGGAGCGGAGGAAGTATTTTAGAAGGACGCGGAAACAGGATTATTGGGATCATCTGAAAAAGCCCTAGTTTTCTTCTTCTTCTTTGGTGCTGCTAGTCGCAAGTTTGAGGCCCCTTGTTTACGTTGGGTTATAGTATAACACCTTACGCCTAGATATTTATGATGTTTTGCAAGTCTTATCTCCAATAAAATTCCATTGCCTTTTTGTTCTTCCGGGAAAATCATATAATTGAATTATTAGGTATTGGTTCTCTGTCCCATGGTGTGGTTTCTCCTGATGGCAATATACTCAATTGGGCTTCCTTGCAAGACCGTTTCCAAACTCGAGTGATTCTATAGCTGGCTAACAGTATGTCCTGGTGTAGGCTGGCCGGTTGGAGAATGTTGTGGGATGGTATCATTCTCATCCTGGTTATGGATGCTGGCTTTCAGGAATCGATGTATCTACGCAAATGCTAAACCAACAATTTCAGGAACCTTTTCTAGCTGTTGTTATTGACCCTACGAGGACTGTTTCTGCTGGAAAAGTTGAGATTGGAGCATTCAGGACATACCCAGAAGGATATAAGCCTCCAGATGAACCTATCTCTCAGTATCAAACCATCCCACTCAATAAGATTGAAGACTTTGGTGTGCACTGTAAACAGGTTATTCTTATTTCTTATCCTTTTCTTTCAAGAACATGTATCCCCACCTTGTTTGAACTCCTTTTGTGTGCTTTTGCAGTATTACCCATTGGATATCACTTACTTTAAGTCTTCTCTTGACTCACACCTCTTGGATCTGCTATGGAACAAATATTGGGTGAATACACTATCATCTTCTCCTTTATTGGGCAATGGAGATTATGTTGCAGGACAAATCTCAGATCTAGGTATTTTTGTGTGACTCTCATATCATTGCAATCTCTTTTGGTTTAATTCTGTTTCCTTTTTGTCTGCACTAGAGATGTGGTATTGTACTATTGTTATATATCTCAGTAGCAAAACTTCCTTATTGTAGCTGAAAAGATAGAACAAGCGGAGAATCAGTTGTCACATTCTCGCTTTGGACCACTAATAGCTCCTGCTCCAAGAAAGAAAGAAGTGAGTAGCTGTTGCTCTAGAAATCTACAGCATCTTCTTTCATGTATAGAAATAGCTTTACTTTGATTTTATTTGAAATGTTTATTATTGTTACTTTGAAATCAGACTTAGTTTAAGCTGATAATTGGCTTCAATCGATACCCTCTTTTTTTTTTTTTCCAACTCAGTCTTTTCACTATTTATATGCTGTCTGCATGGAAAAAAAAGTAGATATAGATTGCCCTGCGTAATGTCAAGCCAACATCTAAGGTCAACCATGAGAATCTATGATCAAGATATTGCACTCTTTTTCATTGGTTTTAGTGTTTGCCCTTTCTTCTTCCTGCATTGGTAAGATGATAACTATCTGGCATGTTGGGCATCTCTATAATCTTTATGATTTTTCTACCTCAGCATATTCTTGTGATCTAGGAGTTGGATCAGAAGACCGAACGTGATATTGTGATCTAGGATTTCAATTCTTCCATGTTTCTGCACTGTTCTGCACTGTAGTAACACTAAGATAATTTTGCACCATAGCCTAAATACTAGTTCAGGCTACTATCATCAATTGATTTTTGTAATCTGCTCCCCGGGGCCCGTTTAGATTGCTCCAATGGATGATTTTATAGAGCCAACTAAAAGGGGGTGTTGAGCATTTTCACTGCTTGGCAGCACATGGAGGAATTTCAAGGGGGAAAAGATAGTGGGAAAGAAGTCAAAAAATATTTACCTGGGATGTGATAAACCAGTCACTACAAAATATACCTAGAATGTGATGATCAGAGACATTGCATGTCTTAGAAGCCGGACGTTAATTTGATTGACATAAGCTTAATGAATGCCTGAATTTGGGAGAAGTGAGTTGTGCTTAAGATTTGTTTCTTCTTCCGCTCTGATTTAGATATACAAAGTACACGATGATTTCATAGCTGATATCTACACAAAGTACACTTGACAGTTCTGTGATGCTGAAATCCTCCTCCTCCTTTCCATTCTCTCTTCTCTCCTTCTTTGCCCCAATACTAGATGTTGATAACTCAATGGATTTGCAGGAAGAATCTCAACTGGCTAAGATAAATCGTGACAGTTCAAAAATAACTGTGGAGCAAGTACATGGTCTAATGTCACAGGTATACATACTCTGTTTCAGATAGCCTGGCAAATTCTATGATCAAATTTCTACCTTTTTTGAACGTGGTTTGTGGAAAGCATTGCCCTGACCCGCCCCCTTTTCCTTAAAGGTCATCAAGGACATCCTTTTCAACTCTGTGCATCAGGCTAACAAGTCCCAAGCTGAAACATCAGGTCCTGAACCGATGATCGAAAGTTGATTGTGGCATTTATGCACCCTAATAGGCAAATTGACAGAAACCTAGTGTTTCATTTTGCAAGCTTTGTTGTGTCTGCCTTGTATATCCCAGTTTTTCTTTCCCAGGATTAGCTACCTTCATTTTTTTTTTGTCCGTTGTTCCCCATTTTGGTAATTATGAAACTCTGTGGGTAAACTATGTTGTCAACATCATATACCAATTCATCTAACAAAAACTAAAATGTGTTTAAATTGAAGTTTAATATGCAAATGATTTTGGCTTCTTATTCTTAATGCCTTTCTGATCTTATTTTAAAATGAATAGGAAGTATTGTTGGCATTGTAACCTGAAACAGATGATACGCGTGGGATTGACACCCTAAACTGAACAGATGATTCTTGATCGGTTCGTCTGCCAAAGATATGACAAATCAAATCAGTTAATCAGTTTTGAATATGCTTATACTCCTCCGGTCCTAATACTAGTGTGTATAAGGGTCTTATATTTAGGACCGGGGGAGTAATAAACATGGCAAACATATTTCTTTTAGATCTCTTCTTGGTCAAATTTAGTAGATCTTACTTGCAACATTTTTTTATGGTTGTTTATGATTAAACGAAATTTTTTTTCCCCTAAACATACAAACAGAAGATCTTTCCATTGAAGAGAAATAGGTTTAGGAGTGTAGGGTCCGCGTGCTCCCGTTCTAGATTAATATTGAGTTGCATGTTATGTCTTTTATTTCTCGTTAATAAGATGATGTGAAAAGCGTGCATATCCATTTGACATTAAATAAGAATTTACCCTATAATAAGTTATCAATAGCGTGAGTTTCAAATTTTATAGCATGAATGGAGGAAAAATAAATCAGACAAGCCAAAACTTACAGTCGGGAATATCTCTTATAAGATTGCTTTCAATACGAAGATACTTAGCAAAAAAAAAAAAGTGATCTGAACTATTAGGATTTTTTTTCAGATCAAAATTCATGAGAAATATTATAATTAAGTTGGTTATACTACTTCTTATCCTTAATTTAAAAAATTCGTTTGATTTTTATTTTGATCCTAATTATAATATCTCAATCCATTTTATTTATCATATTTATTCATTTTTTTCCAAGACAATCTCTCTAATAGTAGTGGTTCTAACCAATAAATTTGATTAGTAGGGATATTTTAGGAAAGATAATATCTATTTATTACAAATAACTAACTTAACTATTTTTTTAATCTTCTCAAATTAGTCAACTAGCTCTTATAATTAGGATCGGAGGTACTATCTTGTTAGAAATATTCCATCATTTTTTTAATAAAAGTATCAACCGGCTTTTAGGAATATTCTCATATTTAGTGATTCTATAATAATAAAAAGTCTGTGTCAGTTCTGTAGAAAATGAAGAATTTTAATTTATATAACATATGTTATTTATTATTTACAATATATTTGTCTCTTTTTACCTATTTTAATGGAAGGGCCAGTTTTTGCACTGATCTCCTATTTTTCTATGCTTAGCGTTGTACGAAATAATCTGAGTTCACAGTCCACACCCCAAATAAAAAAACAAAGAAAGAAAAAAAGAAAATCACAACTCTTTTTTTTTTTTTGGATCAAAAAAATCACAACTCATTACCAAGATGTTATAGGCTTGACGGCTTGACCTGCCCTGCCTAATAGATAAGGAACTAATGGTCCCAATGAACGAAAATGTTGAACCGCTGAACAATTTCATTGAATTAATATATTCTTTTTATTTGCTGCTGCTGTTATGCCATGATTTTTCTTCTAAACATTTACACTCAGTTCTTTTCATTCAATATATTTTATCAATTTATTTGATCTAAAATATTTTATTGGAAAGAATTTAATGAAGCTAACTCCAAAGAGTGGACTGATTTGTTAATACTGAGATCTCATCTATTCAATATATTTTATCAATTTATTTTATCTAAACATGTATTGTGAAGCCTATATTTCCCATTATTTGCGATGCTGAGCCCTCCTTTCTAAATATATCCTTTGCCGTCCCTCATAAGTCATAACTTCACCAACTCTCTTTCCTTTGATTCTCACACTCTTCTAATTACCCGTTTTTCAAATTTCTACCGCTTTTTTAATTTTTGGGGAAAAAAATCTTAGGCCTTACCTAATACCTGCTCTCTGATCCTAAATTCTTTAGGACTATTTTTTATTTTGCATTTTCATATCGTCCCGTTCTTCTCATTCAGTTCATTGTATGATTTATTCATACACAGGTAACTCACAAGATAAGGCTTATTAGTTTTCCATAATGAAAAATGAAGGTATAGGAGAACTAAATGAACTATGCACTAATTATGCCACTATTTTTTCTTATATAATAATCATAGAACATTTTTTTCAAAAAAGGAAAATAGGAAGGAAGATCTTAGTGTCCCTTGTAGTAATGAAGGGTTAAGAAAACAGAAAATGAGATTGAGGGGAAGAGAAAGAGAAAGAGGATAAGGAACCAGGGACTGAGGGGGAAAACAAACAGTTTGAAGTGAAATGAAACAAAAGGAATGAAACGCCATAAATAGCAGAAGAAGTGAAATTGAATACGCTATGTATATCACCCCCACGATCTCACAATGGGTGGTTCTTACAAAAAGCAGCAAAATTTTCAATGAAGTCCGGAAAATCTTAAATTCTTTTAAGACCCAAACAAAATTAGAAATGTCAAAGTGAACAGTTGCAGAGTTCACTTATAGTGGCGCAGAACAAGTCAAGAGGGGCAATGAAATTGTCAGACTAGCTCTCTTTTGTACTCTATATACATATATGTATATGTAAATATATTTCAGATCACAATCATTTAGGTCCGCAATAGGAGAGGTCTATACACAAACGTACTCTTCATCTTTCTTTATCATCATCATCGTCCACTATCACCTAAAAAGCCAACTCAAACATGCCCTCTACCGAATCCTGCTCCACTTTGTTTGGCTTTTTTCATGAGTGCCTTTATTTATATCTGTAAACAAGCATTTGTGAAAGGTATGGATATATGGAAATGAATCAAATGATGTTGGTGACGACTATTTTATGTATAATGGCATTAGGATTTTAGATTCTTATGAGATAACAAAAAGAGACGTTTTCACGAGCAATATGGTCCTCCACACACTGCCTGTGACAACCTCACATGGAGCTACCCCTCCTCCACAAGACTCTTCCTTATTCTCTCTCCCCCTCTCTCTCTCCCATCTCTTTCTGCAGTTTTTATGGGTCTATCTATCTCTCTCTCTTGGGGACCTAAAATGGGCATTATTCTTTAAGGCCACCTTTCAGAGACCAACACTTGGTCTCTCTTTTTCTTTGGTTTATGTTTTACTTTTTTCTTTCTCCCTTTGGCCTAAGTTTGCGTCTGTCACTTCCACATCCATGTGACTGGTCCTCCTCAGTCCTCACGAACTTCTCCTTCCTTCTTCTTCTGTCTTGTCTTTTCGTTTTTGGTTTCTTTTGATCAGTCTATCTTAAACGAACATACCAGTAGATCTACCCGTGAACCCCAAAGAGGAAAAAACTTTCAGTGTCAAACTTTTGATCCCATCACGGCTTTCAGTAGATAATTAACCAGAAAGCAAACACGATCCTTCTATAATTAATGCAGATGAACGGTTTTCCACTGACCAGTTCATCAGATCGATGTTTGTTTGTTGTTTCATGTTTGAGAAACACAGGTTTTGATTAATTATTAGTTGGTGCAATAATTATTGTAATTATACTACCTCTAATACTTAACATGAAAACTAATTTGACTTTCCATTTGATTTTAAATATAAAATCCTAATTCAGTTTATCTTTCATATTTATTCATTTTTATCAATATAATCATTCCTGTAGTAGTTGCACATATTAAATGTTTCATCAAGTAGTAGTTCAGGTAATACGTATGATTAGAAGTGATATTTTAGGAAAGACAGCACCTATTTATTACAAATAACTAACTCAACAAACTTTCTTAATCTACTCAAATTTATAAACTGATATTAAGAGCCAAAGTTAGTATATGTCTAGAATTAATTAACAGCGTAATACAGTAGTATAATGTAAGAGTACAGCCTTAATTACAGATGTTTGGTTGAGTTTTTGTTTTGAAGTGATGATGGGTGAATAGAATTGACTGTGTAATGTCCGACGTGCTTCACGCCCCAAATAACATGATGATGATTAGCAAGACATTTGTGGACAAGTTTCATTGACCAGTGAAGTGTAATCAACGCAATTAAAATATTATTATTATTATTATTATTATTATTATTATTATTATTATTATTATTATTATTATTCAATGCTTATATAAATATGCTAAACATGAATTTAAAAAAAAATTAATTAACCGGCATTTCACTGTTTCATGGCCGACTTGAAAACATCTTTAGGAAGTTGAGTAGGATAACCACAGCAAATGAGAGATGAAGGAAGATTCAATGTTTCTTAGATGAGAGCTATCCTTTTTTAGTCTCCTTGCTAATAATTTAAAAAATTGGCTCCATTCTATCCTAAAATATAAGATATATTTTTTTAAAATTTTGATTTAGTCCTAAATATAAGGTTTATTAATTCTTTCTTATCTTTCACACTAATTGTTTCTTTCTCATAATACCCCTACTTGTTGAGTGTTTTCATCTTTGTGTTTTAGGAGATGTTTGGATAACATCAGAAGTACTTTTAAAAAGTATTCTTTTTATAAATCGAGATGAATTCTTCCACATACGTACTTCATGTACCGTAAAAACACTTTTCAAACTATGATTTTGATTTTATCCAAACACCTCCTCAAATTTTAGTAGCGAAATGGTAGTGGTATTTTTTTTATATATCAATTACACATGATTACTTTAATTTTTTGTATTCTAGTTGAAAGCAGCTTATATTTATAATGGGAATTAAGGAATATGTTGATACCATTAAGGCCCTAATAATATAATGACGTGTGAATATAAACTTATGAATAATGTCAAATATTATATGATTAATTAGAAAAATAAAGAATAAATAAGCAAATGAAAGTGGGCGTGGAGAGGACTACTATTGGATCTTCAACGAGAAGAGGACAGAGCAGTGATGATTGGAATGGCATCTCTCATGTCAGCCTCTCTTTTTGTGCTTCAAGCTTCTCAGTTCTCATACACATTATTGCCCTTTTAATTAATTCTCTATGTTCACTCACTTTAATGGGTCAAAAAGATATAATACCCACATCATCATTATTTTTTAAATTTATTCGGATTT